GCGGCTCCCCGCTTATGCAAATGAAGCCCGGGAAATTCAAATCCCGGGCTTCATTTGCAAGTGCGGTATGCCTACATTACCCTCCTAGGAGAGTAGTGTAGACATACCCTCAGTTACTTTGATGACAATATTTTACATGTACACACTATTTGTAAGGAACCTTTTTGGGTCAGAGGCCGCTGACCAACAGAAAAATCAGTCAGGGGCTGCTCTTGTGGCCCCCAGCTGAGAAGAAGAAAGACACTCTCCACATTCCCCTCACACACCAGCACCTAGGCTCCTCAATGCTAGGGGAGAGCCTTGAGTCTCAGGGGCTGGATCCAGGCAAGCCGGGGGCTACATCTGGCACCTCGGGCCTTAGGTTCCCCACCCCGCTAAAGCTCATTAAAGACATTGATTAGTGATCCTCACAATATCCCCATGATCCTGTTTCATTGATTATTCCTCTTTTATAGATAAACATTGAGGACCTAATTCTCCACTAGCATAAATGGGCTCAACTCACAGGGTACGTCTAGACTAAATGGCTCCGTTGACGGAGCCATGTAGTCTAGACATACCCACACTGATTTCACTGAACTGAATTTGGATACGAATGCATACATTACTCTTGTCTACACTACATTTTTTTTGCTAAATGTTCCCCTGTTGCTTCCCCAATGGCAATAGTGCTACAACAGAGCTAGGATTGGTTTAGGATTTGGGAATTCCTTCCTCTGGGGACCCAGCCCAATCTAGAGTAGTTAGATACTATGGTAATATGGCAAGTACTGTATAAAAACCTAAGATTGGTAGAGCACAAGATTTTTGGAAATTAAACGGCAAAATAGATTTTATTGCAAATTTTGTTTTAAAATATGTATTTTGGAGGAATTTTTCTATGTCCAGTTTTATCCCAGCATGTATGGTTATGGCTGAGTGAAAATAAGTTTTCAACAGTCAAGTTGCCATTTTTCAAATATAGCAGCATAAATAATACCACTGTCATAATACTGCCTATTTCTTCTTTTAAATTATGTATGTATTTTATTATATTTTACATGAGCTGAGGAACCTAGAGGCACTTTTGCAACATCAAGTCATTCTGAAGCACATTACATACAAAGAATCTACTCCATTACATTACAAGGCTGACATATGCAGTTGTATGTGATATTGTTCATTAATATTGCATAATTACTGTATGTGAAATAGTTCTTTGGGCAGTGATGACATTTTTTTCATAAAGACTTTAAGCTCCAAGGCAATGTATGCTATTAAGGGGTTGTTTAACATATGAGGGTACATCATTATACAGTACCTTAATGCAATTGCAGAAAAATAACGAAGGCTACTTAGCCAAATGATGGTATTAACATGTATAATGTATTTTCCAAAAGATTTAAATGGTTTACTGAATTTATAAAAATCACACTTCATATCTCAGTTCAGTCATTGCGATACCAATCTCGTGAATCATTTCAAACAAATACTAATTTCATATGTGAAGATGGAACTGTTGTTTTTTTCTCTGAAGCCTATAAAATAATTTGTTTGTTCTTTGAAAATTGCAACGAAACCAGAATTTTCTCTAGATCTAAGATGATATTAGCTATTCCTAATATGTCTGAAGACTTTAGCTCATCCTGGAGTGATGGTTGAGAACAAAATGACAGTGCATTTTCTTCCAGACCTCAGTTACCTTTCACACATTTGCTCGTGTTGAGCAGTGCCCTATGTACAATGTGGCACATGAACCTTAGGTAGTTAGCAGAGACCCCAGAAATAAGCATCCCACAAATCCTCTGACCTTCAGTTATCCCTTCCACTCTCTGAAGTCCCATCCAATATGTACTGAACTCTTGATATCGTAAGTATAATTTTAATCTTGACACTTAATTCAATTAATTTCATGTCACCCCTGACATTTAACTGTTTTATGGGTTGCAGGATCTTGTATGTTAAAGTGTAGCTGCCCCACAGAAGTTGTGATAGGGAAAAAGCAAGTGGTTTGGACTCATGGTTGAGGCTTTTGACACCCAAGAAGCAAGAATATATGTGAGCTAGTTTTGGTACCTCAGATATATTTGTGGCATCTGGTTCTGGGAAGGGGTTGTATCTCCTCTTTTCACTCCTTTTTGGACAGGGACTTTAAATCTATGGGAAAATTGGAGATTTGAATTACTTATAGCTCTACCCTAATGTCAGCTAATACATCCCACAATGATAAATGAGCATGTCAGGCTGATGTTTTTCCTAACATTATTGGCAATAGTGCACAATGCTAACATTTAAAGATTGTGTGCTTATACGCTGAGGGCTTGCCTTTCTACCCAGATGACCCTATGACAGCTGTAATCAGGCACTACAATTTACAGTCCTCTAATTTAAAAGAGGGGCCTGCTGGCTGGGCATTTTCCATGGCAGGGTTGAGAGGAGCTTGGCTTGAGAGGGCCCTGATTTTTTAACTTTCAGGGTATACTGCAAAGTTCATTTGTTCTCCTGGGCTCTTCTGGAAAGAGAGGAATAAAGGATTTAAGGATTGTGAGTTGTAGGTACTGTGTTGTTTTGGTTTTTTTTAGGGGCGGCGCTCATTGTTGTTCAATGTTGTTCTGAGGACCAATCACATTATATTATGGTGTATTATGTCATTAAGTTTGTTGTGTCATATTCTAATATTGTTATTTGGGGTACAAAGCTTGGTTGGCAGAGTTCTTCTATTTTGCACTTAGAATATTTACTCTTTGTTTTGCTTTATCTTTTACACAGCACTAAAACTTTGGACAAGTACTTTATTAAATCAAAATAAACCACAATCCCAAGGATGTTTTGGAGTTATTAAAGTAAGTGAAGAGATTTTTCTACATCACTGCTGCTTTTCTCAGTTTTTACTGTGACTGATGTCACAATCTAACATTTATTGGAGTGTTTCTCAAAGTGGTCTGCAAAACCACTTTGAGAAACAAGCTAACTGGCTATGCCGGTTTGTTTACATACTGGTGCTGCGGCCACAGAGCCTTGCGGCTCCCATTGGCTCCGGTTACAGACAAGGGGAGCCGTGGGAAGCAGTGGCCCGGCCCACGCTGCTTCCTGCGGCTCCTCTTGGCTGCAAACAGCGAACCAGAGCCAATGAGAGCCACGAGGCTCTGTGGCCACAATGCCAGTAAGTAAACAACCCAGCGCAGCCAGTTAGCATGTTTCTCAAAGTGGTTTGGCAGACCACTTTGAGAAACACTGATCTGTTGGGTGATGTGTTGCAGTCAGAACTATCAGGAAAGAATAGGAAATCTAAGAAAAAATCCTCTAAGAAAAAACAGGACTATGTAGCACTTTAAAGACCAACAAGTCTAACAGGAGAAAAACCTGTTGAGAGTCTATGGGTTAAGTTTAAAGGAGCAAACAACAGCATTGATGTTGTGGTTGGTGTTTGCTACAGGCCACCGAATCAGGTGGATGAGGTAGATGAGGCTTTCTTCGGACAACTGAGCGAAGCTTCCAGATCAAACCTGTTGAGAGTCTATGGGTTAAGTTTAAAGGAGCAAACAACAGCATTGATGTTGTGGTTGGTGTTTGCTACAGGCCACCGAATCAGGTGGATGAGGTAGATGAGGCTTTCTTCGGACAACTGAGCGAAGCTTCCAGATCGCAGGCCCTGGTTCTGATGGGGGACTTTAATCACCCTGATATCTGTTGGGAGACCAATACAACAGTACACAGACAATCCAGGAAGATTTTGGAGAATGTCGGGGATAACTTCTTGGTACAAGTGCTGAAGGAACCAACCAGGGACCATGCACAGCTTGACCTGCTGCTCACAAGCAGGGAGGAACTAGTAGGGGAAGTAGAGGTGGGTGACAACCTGGGAAGCAGTGATCATGAGATGGTAGATTTCAGGATTCTGACCAAAGGAAGAAAAGAGTAGTAAAATACACCGGACTACCTTGCAGGGGAAATCCTTGGTGAACTTAAGCACAAAAAGGAAGATTACAAAGAGTGGAAACTTGGACAAATGACCAGGGAGGAGTTTAAAGGTATAGCTCGAGAATGCCGGGGGGTTATCAGGAAGGCGAAAGCGCAAATGGAATTGCGACTGGCTAAGGATGTGAAGGAGAACAAGAAAGGTTTCTACAGGCATGTTAACAAGAAGAAGGTGATCAGAGAGGGTGTGCGGCCCCTAATGGATGAAGGAGGTAACCTAGGGTATGTCTACTCTACCCCGCTAGTTCGAACTAGCGGGGTAATGTATGCATACCGAACTTGCTAATGAA